CATATATATATATTTATAGGGATATAAGATGCAACCCATGACCAACCGGGACGCCCATGGACGCCCATGGACGTCAGTTGCAGTCTGACTCTGTGACTCGCGATGCAGCGCGTGCTGCACTTTCATTCTCCTTCGTTTTCTGGACAGAACGCGATCCCACCAAGGATCTACTATATATTCTTTTGTATATGCATATTTATAAGCATATACGATCACGTCAGTAGAAACCGGCCATTGTGCCGGGCACACGCCACGCTACCATATGTTACGAAAATTACGGTAATTCTGAGGCTAATTACTGAAATAATCGATGAGAGGATAGAGAACGAGAGAACGTATATGCAGCTAATAGAATTGAGCCAATTGATATCAGAGGCCACGAAAAGGTGTTCGAGGTCGATTTGTACTCGTTAATTAATCGGGCAACTAAGCAGCTGATTAATTCGTGACAGAGGGACAACTGATATTCGTTATCTGCGATAGTAGGTGGGATCTTTGCGCTTGGCACTTCCGTAGGAGATATATATATGTATATGTATATGTATATATATATATATATTATCTATAACTTACCATTGCCGGTATTTGCGGCATTTGGCGTCGTAGGTGTAGTAGGACTCGATTGCTGGTTCTGAGGAACATCCGGATCCGGAATGACCTGGAACACATCGCCGATATCCGTATGCGGCGTCTCGTTACCCTGAATGCCGCTGCGCCGATGAAACTGGTGCAGCTGCTCCATCTGAAGGTGCCTGAGCGAGCGCACGTGCTGCAGCAACGGCAAACGATGCCTGGCGCTGAATCCGCACAGAGCGCAGTGGTAGAGCTTGCCAGGACTTCCGGTATTTGCACTAGCTTCGAGAAGATGCCGTAGAAGAAGAGCGGCAGCCTCGTGTCTTGGAGATGCGGCGTGAAGCGCTAATTTATGTGCGCTGTTCGTGTAGTAGTCGCAGGCGTGACAGCGCAATTGCGCTGCACTGGTCGGCGACGCAAGGTACTTTAGCTTCCACTCGTTCCGGGGTCCACCCTCCTTCACGTGGTTCACGTGCTGAAGTCGCTGCAGATGCTTGTCGGTCTTGCAGTGAAGTTGAAAGTTCGCCTTGAGATTAGTCTTGTAGGAGCAGAGCTTGCAGACGAAGTGCCCGGCGACGAGGGCGAGTATCTCGCCCTCTCGCGTCCTGGTGCGATCTGCGGCCAGGTGGTGACCCAGAGCCTCGAGGGAGTCCGTCGCGAAGCTATTACAGACGCAACAGTGATAGAGGTGAGTCGGATCAGGATCGGCTGGCTCCGGAGGTGGCTCCATACTGTCAGGTGAGAGCCCCACGTCGCCCGCGAGATTTCCCATGGCTCCCATGCTGGCCATGCTGCCCATCAGTTCTGGTGGTAATTGCGGCGGAAGTTGTCCGCCCGTCATCATTTGGATAAGAAGAGCCTGGTTGTAGGCCATGTCCGCGAGGGCGGCTTCGGCGTGCTGAGGCTTATCCAAACCGCCCAGATGGAGGAGTTGCTCGAGTTGTTGCTGATGTTGTTGCTGCTGATGATGATGCTGCTGAGCCTGCTGATGATGCGACTGCAGCGCCGACAGGGTCTGCATGTGCTTAACGTTCTGCTGTAGAACCAACATATTGTGCGTGTGTTTCTCGCTGGTCATGTGTATCCGTAAATTACGAGCGACGTTCGTCTCGTAATTGCAAACGTCGCAGCGAAAGGTCGGCTTCGGCTTTCCCTGTCCGGCAGTCTGACTGGCAAGATGCGGACTGTGATTTTGCTGATGATGCGGACTCCTCGTGGGCATCGGCGCGTCCTGCGATGAGCTCGGATTACTGCCGGCCGTGGCGCCGCCACCTTGTTGCAGCTCCTGCATGTTGTTCAGATGCTTGTCGCTCTGCATGTGGATGCTCAGGTTGCCTTTGGTGGTCGTCGAGTAGTTACAGACTTCGCAGCGATATGGCTTATAGCCGCACGTGTAAGTCTCGCCGCGGGCTAACCTCGGATGAGGTTGACCGGCGATACAGTAGATACAGGACGTCTCGCTCTCGGGATGCTTCTCCTTCATGTGAATCTCTAGGGTCTCTTGGTACTTGTAATGCCAATTGCACTTTGGACACTTGAGGGTCTTGCAGGAGTTCCTACTGTGGATACCAGCGAGGGGACCACCTGGCCCAGCCAACCGACTGCTCGCCAGGATCAGCTCGCACTTTGGACACTCTACGCCGCTGGGCCGACCCTGCATGTGCTCGGGACAGACGCCTATCGTCGTTCCCGTTAGGAAGTTGGGTGGCTGCTGAGTAAGGGCTGCGTACGAGGAGGGCGAGCCCTTGGTCGTTGCTGGGGGCGGTGAGGTGTAATGCAGGGCCGAGGCGTCGGGAGCCTTGGCCCAGGCTGCCGCACTCACTTGACCACCAGTCCATTGCTGCTGGGCCTGTTGCTGATGATTATAGGCGAGAGGATGATTCGCGTGCGACGTCGGGGTCGTTGGCGTGCCAGGAGAGGGCCTCTGCTGTTGCTGATGTGGTTGCTGAGGACTACTCGGAATGCCGGGAGTGCTTGCCGGTGTGCTCGTGGTGGTGGGCGTCTCGTGATCGTTCACCTCGACTCGTTGCTGTTGCTGGTTCTGCGAGAGCACCGGGGAGGATTGGGAGCAAGTCGAGCTCGTTACAGGCTCGAGAAAACTTACTAGGGGCTGTTTACCCCTCCCGACAGCCTGTATAATGGCGGAGGCAGTCGAGTGCGAGAGGACCTGTCTCTCATCCTCCATCAGGGTGAGTTGATGCTCGCCCTGAGCATGAGCAACGAAACTCTTGGCGTAGCCGAAACTGAGCTTGCATATGAAGCACATGAGGATGGGTTTGACGGGCACCGAGGCTGCGGGGGGTGGCGGAGCCGCCGAGATCGGGGGCGGTTGCTTGCTACCCTCCGCGCTTCTATAACTTATCACCCTGTAACTGTGCATCACCGGTAGGTCAGGATTGTGCTGCAGTTGCGCAGCCGATCGTTGCTGTTGCTGTTGTTGCTGCTGCTGATAGGCCTGATGCGCATAGAGTCGCGAGACGTAATAGGCACTCGCTATCTGCGGAAAGACCAGGGAATGAGGAACCGACACGCCCCGACCGTCCACGATGCAACCGTCGGGAAGCGAATCATCCTCGCTGAGTTCACTCTCGCCTTCGATTATGTACGCCGAGCCGTCCGGGTTGTAGACGATCTTGCCGTCGAACTTCTCGACGTCGCCACCGGTGGGACTGGGACTGGGACTAGGTCCCTGTTGGCACTGTTGCTGGCTCTGTGGTTGCTGGGACTGTTGTTGTTGTTGTTGGGGGGCCTGCTGCGTAGTCATCCCGGTGGTGGTAGCTGTCGTCGCTGTCGTCGTGTCGGCTATCGGCGTCGGGGTGGGTATCGCATCCCTGGTACATGGTTCTGTACCAGAGGGTGGACTCGCGGTGCGAGGATGATGGGGTTGATGAAGAGCAGCCGGAGGGGACCCGCCCCCGCGGCCACCCTCTTCCTCCGGACTCATCTCCTGCTTTTGTAGCGCGTACGCGGAATTTTGAAAGGGTCCGCCGTGTTGCTGCTGCTGATGATGGGCCACCACCAGCTGCTGATAGAGCTGATGCTGACCGATCGCGTTGCTAGCCTGATGTTGCTGAAGGTGAGTCTGTGGTATACTGTGATGTTGAAGGTGGTATTGGGGAGGATGGGGCTCACTGGAGGGCATCACCCCAAACGTGAGGCGCGCGCCAGCCTCACATCACCCACGGCGCCAGCGCCTCCTTCCTTCTCCGGATTTACACGACCAATTTTACGCGGCTCTAATTTTCTTGTGATTCTTTTTAATCCACCACCACCACCACCTCCTCCTCCTCCTCCTCCGCCACCACCACCACCACCACCTCCTCCACCTCCACCGCCACCTCCTCCTCCTCCTCCTCCTATTCCTTTCTCCTCCTCTTGTTCTTCCTCCTCCTCCTCCTCCTCCTCCTCCTCTTCCTCTGTTCTTACTCCTCTCCTCACTCTCACCGCCGCACCTCCTCTTCTTCTTCTTCTTATTCTCCTGAGGGAGCGAGCCAGAGACCCGCTGCTTCCGACCTTCCGACTCTTCTTCTCCTCACGGATACTCTTATCCACTTCCTCACCCCAGGTAAACCGTTTACTAGCTACCCCGACGCAACCCCAGGTCGTACCTGCAACAAGAAGAAAGGAAAAATGTTCACTATTCCAGCTCCGACGAACAACTCGCTTTCGTATCAGACATTATTTCTATAGTTATCTGTTCTAAGGGAAGCAGGTATCGTACGGGAGGTGGGGAGAGAGCGATCAAACAGCCCATAAGCCATATCAATGCATGGCGCACTATCGTTCTATTCACGAAATGAGAGGAAATCGTAGAATGTGGACACAGTATGATCGCGTGGGAGAGTAGAAAAGAGGTGGGGGAAAAAAAAGAAATGAAGGGAGAGTCTGAACTCTGAACGCGTTTTTATAATCCGTCTAGTCGGTTAATCCGAGCAAACACGGCCGCAGTTCGGGCTACGTTTGTGAGAACTTCAGCCGGAAGATAGTGAAATACGCAGAAAAGCGGCAAGCTGCGCATACACAGCCAGCGAACGTACGGAGAAAGAGAGAGAGAGAGAGAATGAGGTCTCGGGAAGTGGGAGGGGAGAAAGGAGAGGAGAGGCAGCACAAGGAGAAGAGAAAAAGAGAATGCAAGCATAGGAGAAACTTTGAGGCCGATAGAGGAAACTAAAAGAGACGAAGGATAGAAACGGAGCCCCACGGCTACACAAAGCCTCGTCCACAGTCGCAACAAGGCACCGTCTGTCCTGCGTTACCTGAACGCTACGCGCCCAGCTGTGTTTGCGGCCGATCAGCCAAACTTATCTATCGATTGGGTATCGGCTCCCTCTCTCATCACTGGCTCTCTAAGCGAGTCACGCCGTGCGTGAATGCTTTCCTTGTGTAGTCTCTCTCATCTCTCCTCTTTCGCCTTGCTGCTCTTACTAATCCTTTTGGTATTGGCTCTGCCATTGCGTAGCCACTCCTCGCGAAGCGCCATTATGCGCGTGTCTGTCGACAGCTACAGCCGAGATTCTCGAGGAAAATACAAATTCCAGGATTACGCGAAAAATTCATCTTAATGAGAACCTACGAATCTGAGATCACGAAATCATGAAATCTATAGAGGGAATCTAACTCTGTATTATATATTATGTATTATGTACCACATGTACCACATGTACTACATGTACCACATATACCAGGCAACCATGAAGGTTCTATGGATTTCCAGAAGAAAAGATGCCTCGTGATGGCCCCGGGGTGATTCTCCACCTCTTATGGAAATCTATTCGTTTTACCCTTTTTTACCCCGTTTTTACTTTCTTACTTCATGGACCCCCGTATCTTGATGGTTTGCTTGGTGTGTACTCGTGGATTATCATTCCCTCTTTGTAGGTACGTGGTATACAGGTCTTTACAAAGAGCAAGGTCCGATCGAGGTGTATTATCGTACATAATTCTATACGGAATTACGCCTTCCTTCACGGTAGTTGGAATTCTGCGTTGTAAACTCCCATAATCCAGTCACCGTATCCACGGTGGTATCTTTCCAGCGCAAATGCGTGCTCAACGGACGATCCTTTTCCATAGATTATCGACCGGCGAAATATGAGTTCGATACTAGTCGACGTCTGACTGTATACTTTTTAATAGAAATTCTTTTTTTTTTTCATTTTATTTTATCATCCTTTATTTTATTCAGTTCCCTCCTCACTCCCCTTCGCTCTCTTTTTCTCTCGTTGATCCCCAGTCTTGTGCACAGCATCCCGGCATAAAAGCGATGCTGTTTAAGATTAAAGAAGTTTTCGCCAAGACGTCTCTACTGCCTCTCCCGGTGCAGGATACATTTTATGGAGGATGTCGAGAGTCGCGTGGGAGAGAAGCACTAAACGTTCTGGTTAGTGCGTGTTTATTGCGCGCGCGAGCGCCTTAGTACTCTGTGAATGCGTAACGAATACGTCTAGGCGAGTTTACATAACACACCAGGGAACGAAATCCTGGATTAATACAATGTTGAAATTTCCCTAAAAGATATCGCACGACGTTATGGAATTTATGTGATTTTTTCTTTTTTACGAATATTTATGTTAATTTTTTGTTATTCAAAATAGTTCCACTTTGTGTAAAAAGGAATGTTTTTTTTCTAGATCCATACGTCTGCGTGAAAGCGTCGAAGAATGCTTGGAGACTATTTTTTCTATTGGCACAAACCCCATAAGGGCCCGTTGCGTAACGCAGAGGGTCGTCGAAACATCTGCCAATTCATGGGTAACGCGATCACCTGGCCTGACGGTGCGCAACTTTCCTATTTCTAGTAATTTCCAATAAAGTGTGAAGTCCCACCGTTCGGGCACTTAAACAGACACAGTGATAGATGGACAGATCGATAGATCGATAGATCGATAGGTCCCAGAATGCAGATCATCACGATACAGTCACTCGTCTATTACGTCCTGTACATATGTAAAGGGACATTCCACTACGTAAAATGGTCATTTCTCGAGAAGAGTGATAAGAAGACAGCAATTACAAGGATAATATCTCAATTGTCACTAAATATGAAAATAACTCACGAGTCATTACGGATTGTCGTCGTATCCAGCGGCGTTTAGTATTTGCATTTTCAAAATAACCCATCCCATCCATACAGACTGTATAGCAACATTGAAAAACAATATTCATAATGAGTAGAGTGACGCATCTTATCACGTACAGAAGTATACTAAATATACGAATAGAAGTGTACTACATGTACGTGCATATACAGTATGATACTGTAAAAGTTAATGCCGTAGAAGCACCTGTGCGTGTGATATTAGAGAAGAGAGAGACTCGATAACGAGCGCTCGTTATAAAATCACCCTTTTTGAAAAAGGGGGCCTCACGGGCTCTAAAATTTAGGCCCGCGGGCCCATCGGTGCCCGAATACTGCTATACCTTATGTCCATAGGTATTCTACACATGTTCTCACATATATATACGAACGAAGGACGAAAGAGAAGACGCGCGTGTGCGCCGCAGGATCGCGTGATCCTCTTGGTCGTTCGATCAGCCACAGGATCCTTTTCCGAAAGGATGAATAATCGATAATTCGAGAGCACGAGCTGGCGACGAGGATATGAGAAATTGGGCCGTATCTTTTCTTTCTCCTTTCCTTTCACGCAGTGTGGTCTCCGCTTTCTTCTTCTCCTCCCTTTGTCGCCCTCTCACTCTCTACTTTTCCAGGACTTTTCATTCCTCCTTTATACGGACTGCACTCCGATTTCCCGTTATTTCCTTTAGGCTCGCGTGAGACGCGTCACCGCGCACCATCAAAAGATACAGAAGAAACGGGTCCACCGAAGATAATGGGAGAGATCCGACTCGTTAATAACGAGTGCGGCCATAAGGCCCCGTCGGTCCAACGAGATCTTCGCATCTTCGCTCCTAACGGGACAATACGTGTGGCATGTACACATGTACGTAAATACCAAGTGCCAAGGAACGCGACACGCACGCGGGGTGAAAGATGCAGATGTTCCGGGTGGATCGGTGGCCACTTTGAATACCGAAGTCGAAAAGCCTCGAACGAAGAATAAAAGCTGCGGAATGGCGCGGACTTTGGGGAGTCAAAGAGAGAGAGAGAGAGAGAGAGAAGGAGAGAAAGAGAGCAAGAGCCCCTTGCTCCCGATACACGAAATTCAGTCTCTTTGTTGGGCCCACGAACCGGAAACCAAAGTGATGTAGTTGTGCATCGCGGCGACGGCCACGCGAAAGGCCCTCGTAGCTGTGTGTACACACCTTTTGTCCATGCATCAGCATAGGATATCGGGGGAAGGACCATGTCACGGGCATCTTCTCCGGAGCACAGGCACGATACGCAAGATGCGCGCAATTATCTCCAATTATCTCGTAGGCGTCTCGTTATTTATTGAATATCGTGCACGCTCGTTTCCTTCGGGTTTCGCATGCGATTTTGAAAAAGAAAAATTTCTTTTCTCCAACCAAAAGCCAGGGCAACGGACATTTCATATGTATACCAGCCTCTTTCGTATCTAGTGTGAATTAATTTTTTTTTGACAAAAATTCAAATTTTCAACACTTTCCAGATCTCTCGATACACTTGTCCTATTTGTCCCACGCGTAAAGGCACGTCCACACGAAGCTTTAAAGCTTAGCAAGCGTCGTCGGCTGGTCTGGCTATCGATTCTTGTATTTATAAGAAAGTGCCACTGTGTCCAAAGAGCTTACCTACCCCAACGTCTATCAGAGCAGGGAATACATTAGAGTTGGCAGCCTGCAAGGTGTAGTAGTAGTTACGTAGCTTCACGCGTCACGTGTACCTCTATACGTCTACACTACTTTACTGGCATTCAGCATTATTATTGTTATGCCTTTCCACGGCTTTCTACTTAATATCCAGCAACCGATCGGACACCTATCCACACCTTTGCTTATGCTTATAGACACCTACGCTGTACCTTTTGTAAATCAACGCACGAGTACGCACTACCTACCTTCGCTAAGTACCGCGCGCTTTATCTTGCTACCTGTGTCACAAACATTTATATGCGTTTACGTGGCCACACACGCCTTCAGGACAGTGTACAGTCGAGTATGCCGAGGAACGTGGCGCGCATGTCAACGATTTTCACAGGTTCAAATAATTAAACGGAATCAGAATGCCAGTCGGCCGTGTAAAGTTTAGGTTGGTACAATTAATAAGGGGGTAAGTAGAATAGGTGAAGAGTCGGAATGTGTATAGAGGGTGGCGGTGGAGGAGGCGAGCGAGGATCGAAGACAGCGGTAATAAGTGAAGGCAGCGCACGAAGCGTAATTTACGTGCAACATGGATTCAGGCGGCGTTTAATCGGCGGAGGGTGGAGGGGCGGAGGGGTGGAAGGGAGGACCGGCCCGATTATGAACTTGGCTTAGGTTGGGTTGGGTGATGTGGAGAACGCGAGGAGAGCCTCTTTGTGATATCAATTAAGTATGATTTGCCCTCCTGCACTCTACCCCCCTGCTCGTCTCTTTAAGGTTTGGGCTCCACTCCTCACAGTGGGCCCCCTTCGCCCCCCTTCGCTCCTTCGCTGGGCCCAACGTCCTGCCGCCTCCTCCTACCTCGCCCTACCTCTTTAGGATAACC